TATTTTACAAAAATAGCCACCGTGTAAATAATTTTTATATTTAAGTGGAATTTTTTTCAATACAAATTTTTAATACCAATATTTAGAAAATAAACTGCATTCAAACTTGTTCAATAAAATGCACAAATTAAAAAGTGAACCCCTTAAACCCATCGGCCAAAGAAATTTATTTTATTTCGTCATAATTACTTTTTGGCACAAAAATGTATCAAAATCTTCCATAGTACAATCGGGTAATTCTGACTGCAGTCTCCAATTCAGTGGGGAAAAGTATGAATGTTTATTTAAATACACCGACATAGTGCCTAGGTCAAAACTTTCTGTTTGGGTGCCTATGTAATTTATCAAAGTTCATTGAAAACTTACGAGTTATACATACATAGCCATAAATCGATGAAAAATAGTAAGTGCAAATGTATTTTTATGTATTTTATGTAAACAAAAAGTGCTTGCAAGTGCCACCAAAGCTTTTATTTTAGATCTAAAAATTACTATGTACTTTAAAATCGTGAACTAAAAATTGTAATACAAACTCAAAGTTCTAAACTTTTTTAATATAGAGAATTGCATTCGAATTCTTAAAATAATTTAGATATGTGGTACACAGTATATCAACAGATGTGACAGCAATGGCAGTGGATCACGTTTCACTTTTGGTTGCCATGGTTTTAACGTTTTTTTTCAAAATTTTGCATTTTTCGTTGTATCAAAGATGTGAAATTCTATAAATATAACGAAGCATTTTTCCAACCTCTTCAATTTCCTAAAATCGAGGTTCCACTGTATTGTATGCATTTCTATTACTGCCGTTTTTTGCAGTGAAGAGTTAACTCACAACTCTTCAGTCAACTAGAATTTTTCCTACTAAAAAAAACTACAGTAAACTGCCGAATATTAGTTAACACTCCACTGCAAAAACGGTCCTTAATGTTAATAGAAACCAGAAAGGTGTATATTTTTAATGCTTTTCTACTTAATAACGCCGAAAAAATCAACGTTGTACGATAATATTCATATCTACATACATACATATGTAGTACAGTTAAGTTTTTGTCTAACTATTTATCAAGAAAAAAAATACTACTTTTTATATGTACTACTACTAGTTTAGAATAAATGCATTGTAGTATAAATTAAGCTATAATATTTAGTGACTAATTGAATTGTATATACACTTGTACGACTACTTTTACTCAAAATCTATGTTTTGTACTCAAAATCAAAATTGCGAATGTTAACTTTTTAAATGTGCTATATATAAATGTAGTTTTATTGCAATAAATTTAAATTTTATGAACGTAAATGCCTTAAAAAGTGTAAATAGAAATAATAAATAATTAAACCATAAAAACTGTTTTTTTTTTTTCTTTCAAACAGGGACTTTAAATAAATAGGCTGCCGCTCAGCGGATTTACCGTTAAAGTTTTGATTCATGGATTTTATAATCAAAATAACACAGAGCCTATTTACCCGGCGAATTTTTACGCTGTCTGGAAAGCAGAGAAGTGCACCGATTTCGAACCGGATAAATCGCTCTTTCCCACTAATTAACTGAACCATTAACCAAACCGAAATTTTTTACAAATGTTTGATCGCATAAAGATTTAGTGTGCGTTTCGACCATTTTTTTTATAGACAAATTTGCCCCACTTTTTTAATATGATTATTCTATGTTTGTTTACCACCTAACAATTTTTTTTTACCAAGTATAGCATCTCAGCCGGAAACAAATCTCGATTTTGGACAAGCGCTGGTCATATTTGCTTTGTTCCGTCTAGTTTCAGACAAGGAAAACTATCGAGGCGCTAGGCGCATAGGTAACGCTCGCTCTAAGCAGCCACTGTCCAGTTATTCTGGACAGCTTCCGTCCAATGTACTGTAGAAGTATCAATCAGAATTCCCATACAGTCCCTAATGTAGCACCGAAACTGTTTACTCGAGACACGATTTCGTACAACACAGCCTTTACGGGTATATGAAATTGAAAATCGGATTCGGAAATCACCCCGAACCCAGCAGTAAATATGTCAGTTAGAAATTTCTTTGGTAAAGTCCAGGCTTCGAGAAAATCCTATTATGCGTCCGTCAAGTTTAATCTTCTCCGGCTTCTCATCCCAAGGTAAACGCACCATGGAAAATCTACTTAGCACCTGTATTGATTAGATATTGTCTGCTAGAAGCGTCCAAGACACTGTGAGAACATGTATTCTCATATGATAGACCTAGTGCAATTTCTAGTATAGATGATTTAGGAACACTCAACTATCGCCCTGATACTTTGCTATTCTATCGCAGTCGCTTGCAAGGGCTTGTACTGCAGGTAAACTGCAATTAAAACAATAAGCTTATTTCTGTGTTCGTATGGAACAGTAGCGTATGACAAAAGGCTGGCTTTAGTATAATGCGGCATTCGCAGCATTCGATTGTGAATGACTTGCTGGCGCCGAGCCGTTGTAGAACTTTTGGCTAAAAAACGTGCAGAAATAGTTCCGATGCTAGCAAGTCAGTGTTCTTATTAAGTCTCATCAAAGAATTTCTTGTCGTTTAAAGAATAAAGGGAATGCCGCGTTATACTAAAGCTAGCTTCCCGACATAAGCTACTATTCCATACGAACACAGATTCAATCTGGATATCTTGAGTATGCAAAAACAAAATGTTATGACATTTGGAACATTCTGTTATGTTCACAACAAACTCAGAATCTATAAATCTGAAAAAGTGTAAAAATTTTCAAGAACACTCATGAGTGTCTACGAACATGTATGATACACGGCGTATGAGTAACCTTCCTTTCTAATCATATCTACCCTACAAGAAAAGGACTTTTTTTGCAGCATTATTGCATCAGCACTGACCGTCAAGGGACCGGTCATTAGCCAGTGAGATTTCTGGTAGGGAAGTAAAACTGTCAAAAAATAAAAATTCGCTCAGAGCGAGAGAGTAACATTGAAAAGTACGGGATCGCTTTCTAGTAAAAAATGGTAACTTCTGTCAACTTCAATATAACCTCCAAATTTTGGTTGTAAATTTTTGCTTATTTTGTATGTAACCACACTCAGCTCACACATGTAAATAACCAAAAATACTTTCAAATTCAATAGTCAGAGAACCGAGTACGGGATCGATTTCCAGTAAAATCTGACTGATTCTGACTATTTCTGACTAGTCCGGACTCGTACGGGATCGCAACTTATAAGATGTGGGGTGTGCGTTTGACTAAACAGTGAAAGAACTTGGCAGTAAGGCTTTATTTTTTTTTAAATAAATAAAGAAGGAAATGTTAACTAAAGCGGAAACAATCAAAGTTTCTTACGCCATCCGAAACACATCTCTGTTCCGCACAGTGTTGTGAAACCGAAGCACACGTTCTAAAGTATCTTTGAAGATAGTTGAGCAGAATAAATGTTCTGATGCTCGTAACTATTTTGAACCCTCAATTTCAGCATTATTAATCTTAATATCTATCTTAGGAAATCGCGGCCTTCAAAACTAACAATTTATTTTATTAATCATNGGAAGCACACGTTCTAAAGTATCTTTAAAGATAGTTGAACAGAATAAATGTACTGATACTCGTAACTATTTTGAACCCTCAATTTCATCATTATAAATCTTAGGAAATCGCGGCCTTCAAAACTAACAATTTATTTTATTAATCATGAATTGGTTCTTATTGCAACCCTGTCGTAGCACAGCTGTTCGCCATTATTTAATCAGCTGTGAGCGTGGAAAGCGAATTGTCAAAACGTGATTTGCGTTTATCTTCTACACTTTCAATCGGAATTGGAGTTCAAAATTAAAAATTTATTTCAAGGAATTTTGTTTTTAACGTACACAAATTTGTTTCGCACATTAATTTCAAGAATAGTTATTTTGGAAGAGATAACGAAAAAACGAAGAAAATTTACCGCCGTAATTTTCAAAATTAGGCATGGCACACGCCACACCGCAGGTAAGGTACACCGCCATCCATGGCATTGTGACGCAATACAAAAAGAAATAAAGTCAATTGTTTGCCCCATCCGTGTTGACTAGATTCGCTCAGGTGTAGAGTGCTTTTTCCCTTTTAGTTTTGTATCGAACTTTTTTATGCAAAATTCATAATTAGTAATTTTACTGAGAATTTGTAGGGACCCCAATTGCTTCACGGCTTCAAACGTTTAACCCGTTTCGATAAAGGGCTTGGTGCACAGCTGCCTGAAGCCTATAAGAAATTCTGGCGCGAATGGAAGTTAACGACACCTGCTGCAGTCCATTATGTGCCAAAAACTGAAGGATTTGAACGTGATGAATTAACAGGTGTAGTGAGACCTGTGCAAGATATACCTATACCATTAATTGATCCCCCCGAAGCAAATGATGGCATCTGGGGAGGAGAAGCTGTCATCAAGGGTTTCCAAAAGCGCCATCCGCAAAAAAGGCGTGTACCACATTTTTGGATACCAACGCTAAGGCGCTCGGTGGTGCACAGTCAAGTGTTGAACGAGTATATTTCAATGGTGGTAACTGATCGTACCATTGATCAAATACACGATTGTCGCGGTTTTGATCACTATCTACTAAAGGTGTGTATTAAAACGATTGCATTATACTTCAGCAGTGCTTTGAGTTAATTGATTTCATTTGAAATTTCTATTGATTTTAGAATCTTGCGTGTGATTT